TTCAGAATCTGATCATTCATACCAAAGAGAAACCCTTCTGTTGGAGGATATCGGTTGTCATCTGAGGAGTCATACTGGAAATTCACCCAGCCTAGAGCCTTATTCTACATCTGAGAACTCCTCCAAGAGCATGATCCAGTCATTCTCGTGCACTTAGCATAACCATTGGCCCCATCTTCTCAGTTTACACTGCAAAATTATCTCAGGGATATTTAAACAAAGGAGGAGGAGATACAAGAGAAACACAAGCACAGTTTCTTTCATATTTCTGTGACAAGCCTATGGCAGTTTCTTGTTCCTTATTTGGGGGGGGGGCGGTGTTTCAGATTTCAGAGAGCCTTGTCCCCTTTGCCTTGTATATACCTTCACTGCTGTCCATTGTCAGGACAGTTGGGACAGTTGAGGGTGTGTTGAAAGCCTTTATTTTTTTTATTTTTATGTTTATGTTTTTTCACACTCACAGATGGCTTTATTCAGCCGTCGCCCATAGGACAGCGTGCCTCCCAGACCCCACAGTCCCTTGAAAACCTTTATTGAAGGCCTTTGTTCTACAGCATCATCCCTACCTTTGAGTAGCATAAGTCTTAACAAGAAATATGAAAACTTGAGTTATGAAAGACTCATATTTCAGGAGATAAAAATGTACATATGAATGAGCCCACTGTAGCACATTCTTAAGACTTTGATTTTTTAAAAAGCAAAAAAATTTTTTCAGGTGTACTTAACCATCCGTTTATACGTGCTCTTGATCTACTTGTCTATTGTTTTTTTGTATTTTGCTGTACGACGAGGATGGCAGTGTAGCTGCGTTACCTTCTCAGATGAATCCTCTGATTGTGGTTCCTGAGCTTCTCCAATCCTATTTAGAGAGGCTTCTCCCAAGTCCACCTCACTTGTTTTCTATGGGTCGAATTAGAGCCAAAACAAAACACATAGCTAAATTAAGCTAAAAAAATAAAGAGAAACTCCAAAAAGCAGAGAGAAAGAATCCCATTTTTAATCCTACGAAAGGTGGTGTGAGGATTCACTGTTGAGGAAATTGACTAGAATATTAATAGATGAAATGGGCATGTGCACATGCAGGGGTGTGTGAGTTTCACTGTTGTTTCCATGGCCTTGGTTTCCAGTGTAGTAAGTAACAGTACCTTTATCAGCGTCTTTTGGAATTCCTTCTTTGTTTTTTTGTGGGTTTTTTTTTGTTTTGTTTTGCTTTGCTTTGCTTTGACCTACCTGTGATAGTATTACCTCACATTAAGAAATATGCTGTACAGAAAGATGTAAAAATAATCACGCATTCACTTTGAACCCTCCTCAGGGCCTCCTAAATCACCGCAGGTGTACTTTTGTATTGCAGGTGTACTTTTGTATTGCCATCGTAGACCAAGCCATTTTTGTTACATTGATTCATGGCATTATTGTGAAGGCACCTCTTAATCCTTTTCGGTTCATGTCTAAGAAGTCTTAAGGAAGCTCTCTGTCCTGAATACTTTCTCCTGTGTTTTCTCCTAAAAGTGTTATCGTTTTTGCATATAAATCTCTAATCCATGTCAAGTTAATTTTTGTATTACCATGTGAGGTTTAGGTTGAGTTTCTTTCTTGTATTTTTGCTTAAGGATGTTCAGTTGACTGGCACCATTGGTTGAAAACTAGACTACAGTACTATGCCTCCACTGAATTATGTTTATTCCTTAATCAAAAACCTGTTGGGCATATTTATGTTGGTCTATTTCTGAATCTCTGTGTTATCCCACTGATTTGTACATCTAAACTTCTGCCAGTACCAAACTATCTTGATTACTGCAGCTTTTAGTAAACCTTAAAATTGGGTGAAGTGATTTCTCCTTTATTCTTTTTTAAAATTGATTTAGCTTTCCATATCAAATTTTTTCCCTTGGCTTTCTGTAAACACTTTATCATGTGCTTGTCTGTATGTAGGAAACATCTTGCTGGGAATTTGATAGACACTACATTAGTCTATGGATCATTTCTGTGAGATTTGGCATCTTTATTATTTTGACTCTCACACCACGAACATGGTATGTCTCTTCATTTATTTAGATCTTTTTTGGTTTATTTCACTAGCGTTTTGTAATTTTCCACTTGTAAATCCTGAACATATTTTGTTAGATTTTTACTTTGGCACTTTTTTTGGAATCACTGTATGTTATATGGAGGTTTTAATTCCAGTTTGTACATGATCATTACTGTTACAGAGAAATATGATTAATTTTGATATGTTGACCTTGCCTCCTGCGACCTTGCTGAATACTTATTCTAGCAGAATTTTGTGTAGATTCCTCAGGATTTTCTTCATAAACAATAATGTTATCAGCAAATTGCAAATATCTTTTTGTCTTCTTCCCAATCTGTATCTCTTTCATTTCCTTTTCTGTCTTTATTGTACTAGCTAGAACTTGCAGTACAATGTCAAATAAAAGGGTGAAAGAGGACATACTTGCCTAGTTTGTAATGTTAAGAAGAAAACATTCAGTGTTGATTATTAAATATGATGGCTGTGGGTTTTTTATTGTTTTACTTTTTAAAAAAATTTTAATTCCAGTGCAGTTAACAAACAGCATTATATTGGGGCGCCTGGGTGGCTCAGTCAG